AGTGATGAGAGGAAAGTTTTGATCCTAAACACTTGGAGTGTTTGATGAACTTGTGAAGATTATGATACCCTAGAGTTGTGAACACATAGTGTCATGTGTAAATGGAAGAAAATTAACAAGATAATGTGTAGGATCATTATACAAACTTGAAATACTTACTAGGATTTAGGAAGTGCCTTGAAGAATTAAGTACCCTTAAAGCTTGAAGCTTGAGTTTTCTCAGAGAGCAATTTGGGGTTTTCTCAGTTGTGAAAATGAGGAAATGTGATATGGGAGAAGGGTTTTTGTTCCTTAGTAAAGAGTGAAAGTTGACATGATGTGTGCTTGGGTTACTGGGGATCATGCTTAGTTATTTGATAGATAATACGTGTTTACCCATGATTGCCTTGGAAATGGTTGAGAAGTCCCACCCTAAAGTCAAATGTATTTGTCTTTTCCTTAATTCTAATCCGTAAACACCTCAAAACATTCAAGCATAGGCGTAAACACATGTGTTTACGCCCTAGGATGAGTTTCCTTTTGATTTTTCGCTCCATACGTGGTCCACTAAGGCGTTTACGCCCATGATGCTTCCTAGAATGGTGTTTATGCCTAAGATACTTCCTAGTATGGTGTTTACGCCCAAGGGGGGTCCACTAAGGGGGTTCACGTCCAAGTCCTTCCTATTAAAGGTGTTCACGGCCATTCCTTTGGTTTTTAGGGTAGTTCACGGCCAAACCATGGCCCATTAGGGGTGTTTACGGCCAAACATGGCCCAATGGAAGGGTTTACGATCTTGGATGGTTCCTAGGAAGGTGTTCATGGTCTTAGTTTATAAGAAACTCTAATATGTTGGCCTTGTAGTTTGAGTGTTCAAGATTATGACACAATTACAGATCTTGTGTTAACATCATTTGATCCTTGTTGGATTGCATTGTTTACTTAAGACCTATTGCAACTTGAACTCCAATTTACTTGTCATACTTTGTCTTCCTAAACTTGTTTACTTTCAAGAGATTACCTGATATGTGATTTCTAAAGTGTATACTTCCATGTACAAGCACCTATGCCCTTTTAGTTTTCAAGGTTTTCATTGTAATAGGGTTACAATTTAGATCTTGCTTGATCCAAATATTTCGGGTTGTCACAAGCTTCGAACACACTCGAACATACCGACAAAAGTCTGAAAATTTATTGGTTTTTATGACATTAGCCACACACACACACACACACACACACACACACACACATATATATATATATATATATATATATATATATATATATATATATATATATATATACAGTAAATAGCAAAAAAAAACACTAAGTTACATCAAAATTCTAATTTGATATTGTTTTTTTGTCTCAAATTTAATACTGTGTTTTCCAATTCTAATCAATTGACCGTTTAACCCGATGACCTGTTAACGTGACATGATGACATGTCAACTTTGATGATGTGACATGCTGACATGACATACTGACGTGTTAAAATTGATTTTTTTTCACAAGAAAAACAGTAAGTTTTACTTTTTTAAATTTGGACACTAAGTTTAATGACTTTTGTGTTATTTTCCTTTAAACTTTTATACGAATTTGTTACATAAAATATATATATTATTTTTATGATTAGTTAATATAACTTGTAGGTAAAAATAAATTAGAAATATATAAATATATAAAAATATAAAAGAAGAGAGGAAACCAACAAATGAAATTTTATCCCCGGAAATGAATAGGATTGCTTTTGAGTTAATACTATTCATGTCTCCGTAAATATGATAGAAATGGGATAAGAAATAACATTTTCAATCGAGCAATTAAGAATTATAAGTTCCATTTGATATATAAATAAAATAAAAATTATGAATAAATTAGTTTACGCTTCTAAAAAAAATAATATCACAATTTAATGTTTACGTATATAGGAAAGAAATGGGATAAGAAATAACATTTTCAATCGAGCGATAAGAAATGGGAAAGAAATGGGTCCGGGTTTTCCGGTTTTTGGACCCGTTTGGACCGGTACAATTTTAATTGCATAGAGTATAAGTAATCTACATTGATGTATAATATTATAACTTGCAAAATTAATACGTTTCCGTTTCATGCCTAACTAATCTACATTGATGTATAATATTATAACTTGCAATTTGCAAAAATTAATTTTCCAAATAAAAGCAACTAACATATAAATCAAGTTCACCAACAAAGGTTAAACAATTTTAAGACAAACATACAAAAGTATTACCGTAACAACAAAAATCATAGTTTAAACTTTAAAATCAATCAAACTAACAAACTTCATATACTAATAATCTAATCTTCCATTGGCCTCTTCCCCATATCATTGTCATCCATATGTAACATATTTAAAGCTTGTGCAATCTCTACATAAACACAAATGAAAATGTTGTTAGTATTTAATAAAAATTAATAATTGTATAAAAAAAGAATAAAGATTGTAATTATAGTATAAAATAATACTAAACGCGGACTCGGAATTATAGTATAAAATAATACTAAAAAGCTGAAATATTTCAGCTTTGATAGCTCTACTTTGAAGGATTGTAACTCAGTGAATATAATACCAAAATAAACAAAATTATAGTCTAAACTCATGTAGAAACTGTAAACTAAATGTTGGAAAAAATCTCCGGTCAATCCGACTTAAAACGAATGAGTTATGTGTGTTTAAAAAATGTCATAGATTACAAAATCTTGTTGAAAAGCTGAATTTTTTCAGCTTTGATAGCTCTACTTTGAAGGATTGTAACTCGGTGAATATAATACCAAAATAAACAAAATTATAGTCTAAATTCATCTACAAACTGTAAACTAAATGTTGGAAAAAACCGCAAGTCAATCCGACTTAAAACGAATGAGTAATGGGTGTTTAAAAAACGTCACATAAATCTTAAACATGTCCAACCAGTTCTAAACCCGGTAAAAACCGGACCGAACCGGGAAAAAAACCGGACCGGACCGGAGAGAAATCTTAGAACCGAGAACCGGCCCAGGGGTCCAAAAAAACGGTCCGGTCCGGTCCGGTCCACCGGTCCAAATGCTCACCCCTAATATAAGTCCCATTTGATATATAAATAAAAATTATGTATAAATTAGTTTACGCTTCTAAAAAAAATAATATCACAATTTAATATTTACGTATATGTTTAGGCAACTAATTTGTCACGTGTGCTATATAAGAAAACAACACACAAGACTGTCAAGAGTAGCGCCAAAACGAAACAAAATAAAAACTGTAGGGACTGAATTAAAAATACAAGACCTAGTGATACGGGACAAATTGTATGCCGTATTGATTTTCTGTCAGTCGTATTCGTATAAATACACAGAAACATACGATGTGATTGATTCAATGTTACCCTAGATTTTATTTTTTATTTTTTTATGTGAGAAGGAATCTCTCGTGTTTAG